AAAAAAAAAAAAATTAAAACATTTATAGTAACAAGGTAAATTGTTTTTTTTTTTTTTTTTTTTTTAAACCTAAATGTTGATTACAGTAAACTTTCTGATGTTTGTTGAAAATATACTCGTCAATCGCATCATCTATAAATTACTACTTCTTCGTCCAACAATAGATACGTATTAACATCTTGTCTTTCACAAGAATTCCCATTCACGTTTGTTTGTGTTGGCGGATCACCTTGATCTCTTTAAGCGATTAACGTGATCGGTAATTCAAAGAAGAAAACGAAGAATAGTCATTACCGTTACGTATTTATGGCCGTACGCGTAACGCATTTGAATTTCCATTATTTTATCTCTCGCGCGTTAGGATTCCCCGATTGTCACTGTAATTAATTACACGTTGCATTCGCGTATATATGCTAATATATTCGTGAGATTATGATGGAATTATATACTTGTTTATAACGACAGCTAGATAATTGTTGTGAATATAATGTAAATTTTCTTTCGTGGAACTGCGTTATATATACTTGGAAGAGAGAAAGATTATTCCTCTTGTTATCCCTCAGGAATGTTTCGTGACATGTTGATCATCGATCAAACGAGGCCTTCTGCCTACGTGACGGCGGCACGTCTCAAAATGTAGAATTTCACACCTGAAGAGAACTTGAAGCAATCAAGTCAAGCATGAAAAAAAAAAAAGAAAAGAAAAAAGTTAATGAATCGTGAAATTCGATTGCCTAATCTACGGCACCTAAGTGACGCACGATTTACAATCTGAAGTGGAGCAAAAATTCTCGTAATTACCTTCACTTTGTAAATAAGTTGGTAATATCGGCTAATTGAGACGGCCGAGATAGCGCACAAGTGTTTTTCTTCGAAGCATCGTTCAGATTGCCCGATCTGTGCAACGAAAAATGGGAATAGGTGGCTAAAGAACTATTTGATAGATCAAGATATATGTCACAAAGAATTTCATCGTAGCTAATCTAACGAAGCGTGGATACTTCTGTCTCTCCCTCGTAATCTTCACCATCTTATCTCTGCGAACGTCACGATCGAACGTTATCGTTCTTGTTTATGCACTCTGCCCGATCCGTCGGCAGAAGTCTGCGAGAGTTTCAGCGCATTATTAAGATTTTTCCGGTTGATCCAGGTTGATGTTGGCGCGACGAAGAGGCAAACAGGCCGAGCGTACAACCGAGGCTGGCCAATATGACAAGGTTACAGACCAATTAAGGCGAAGCACCGGTGTCCCCATTGCGCGATCCCCCTCGGACAAATCTCGGCGTAATGTCTTTTATTTACAAATCGTACGCGGACCATTTAGCAATTTCACCAATCAGGCCACCGATGTGTCTGACACCGGGTAAGGCCGAGGGTACACGCTCGGTGCTTCTTAATCGTGGCTCGAACCGTCACCATTGATAAGCCGACCAATGATAATCCAAACTGTTTTCCCACGTAAAGTGGAATAAGTCTATAGACACTTACGGGCGAACCTTGTCGAAGGGATTGTGTGAAGAATGGTGTCACCCTCTTGACGAGCGGCGCTCAGTCAAGAAGAAATTTCGCGTTAATGTTAAAAAATGGCGGAGCAGCGCGAGAGAACAGGAGGAGAGATTTCGAACAGATGAGCTCGAGACGAGGAAACGAGTTGTCCAAGCGTAATTATCTGGTCAGTTCGGATCAATCCAGATCTCGATTATCGAGCTCTACGTTAACTTTATACCGATTATATAATTATATAATTTATTCACTGAAAATCATTCGAATTAACTCGGGGGACACGATATGGTGCGATTCGATGCGCAAATACATCTGCGAACAAGTGTCGATAAACTGCTTGTTAAACAAACGTGTGATACATGATAATGATATTTAAATAACATAGCTTGATATTAGTTAGACATTAGTTAGAACGATTAACAATAACGATCTTTTGTACATGATATTTGTTGCGTTTCGATATGAAACACATTGGGTTACGTGTCATGTGCGTGAGTATCGATTACAATTCGCCGATCCTTGAAATCTATATATTTTTCACTTTCATGACCGCCGTGAAGAAAAGAGGAGGCAGTAAGCGACGCGACGAGAACGAGCTGTAAAAAAATGGATAAAACGCGAAATGTAAACATTTTACAGTTACAAAAACATTGCAACTTACGACGAAATAGAAAGTAACAAGTAATAAGTAATGATGAAGCGTTGAAACCGTTTCGCGGTTCTGTACAGATACAGAGTTAATCGTAATTGAAGCCATTCTTTCCACGATGAAACAATTAAGATTCCATGACACCGTGGTGTATTTTGCAATACTAATCTCTTGCAAAATTCTTCCCAGCGGGCACGTATTCTTAGCTGGAGTATCAAAACTTACACGCTTACAGAACCAGCTATGCGGATTGAAAGTACTAATGAAAGAGAAAGGAGTTCTTTTAATATCCACGCTACACAATTACAGTGTAAAAGAAAATCATGCACGTTATAATCATAAACGCTATGCTGTATA